CATGCTTCAGAAAAATTGAGAAAAAAAAAGCTATTTGAAGAACCAATCATCTGGTCATCTCTATCCTCTTCCACTGCCCAGAGATGAGGGCTTGGCATTGCTAAAGTCAACTTCTGCAGTAGCCAAACAAAGCATCTCAAAGGGAAGGGTCTTCTTGACTCACTGGAGGCTTCTGAACAGCATTTGTGTGTGTGTGTGTGTGTGTGTGTGTGTGTGTGTGTGTGTGTGTGTGTATTTGACACAATGATGAACACAAAGGCTTTGATTTGAAACACTATCAAAGCTTAAAAAGGCTTTTTATGGAAAGCTTTAAAAATAAAAAAGAGCACGTTTTCTAAAGGCAAACAGACCTGACTTGAATCTGTATTCTTCACTAATTGTAATTTTCAGCAAGTTACTTATCCTCTCTGAGCCTCATTAGCATCATTGCAAAATGACAATAATAATCCCTACCTCCAAAAAAATTGTGCATGATGTTGGTACCTAAAAGATACTCTGTGAGTATCAGTGAGCTTTTCCTTCCTCAGGGAAAAGGGAAGAGTTTACAGCAAATAAAACAGATGGAATTAATTACTCTCCATTATGTCTTTAAAAAATCAACAAAAGGGCTGGGGGTGTAACTCAGTGGTAGAGCACTTGTCTAGCATTCAGTGTACATTACTGAGGACCTGCTGGATACTCCTCTAGGCACTGAGGATGCACACAAGATCTCTGTCCTTGAGCTTATATTGTAACGGGAGAAGATAGACCACGGTAAGCAAAGAAACAGCATAGTGGGTATAATGAAGACAATGCAGTGAAATACTTCCAGAGAGAGGCAGGACCTGTTTGAGAAAAAATGATCAGGGAAGCCCTCACCAACATAGTAGCCATTAAACTGAGGTGTGAATGATGGAAAGAACTAGCCATATTGGCATTGCAGGGAAGAGCAAATCATGCAAAGGAAACAGTGAGTGTGAACATCTCCCAGCATGGACCTAGCTTGACTTATTGGGGGAACAGAATGCAGAGAAATACAGAAGATCAGAGCTCAAGGAGAAGTCATTAAGAGGTTAAAAGATAGCCAGTATGGTGGCACACACCTGTAATCCCAGCACTCAGGAGGCTGAGGCAGGAAGATCGCTGCAAGTTTAAAACCAACCTGGGCTACAAAGTGAGTTCAAGGTCAGTCTGCACTGCATAGCCAGACCCTGTCTCAAAAAGAAACAAAAAAAATCAGGAAGGAGTCAGTCATGCAGCCAACATCTATTCACACTAAGCATCTACGATGTGTGCAGCATTCTAAATTCTGGTGATACAGCATTAATCTGTTAAAGCCTCTGCCTCAAGGAACTGACATCCCAGGGAGGACAATTTCCTGGGACCCTGGAGGTTATAGTAAGAAGTTTGTATTCATTTAAATAGGCTGTGTCTTTTGATCTTCACAGTGTCTCTAGGAGATGCATAGAAGAAGAAACAGACTCACTGAGATTGTGCTATGTAACCTGCCTGAATTACTATCATTTGTGGTGAAGAGCTTGCAGTTTAGGAAGAAAAGAGAACTGAGTAGCCACTCTCCAGGATCACTTTGCTGGCACACACTGAGCCAGAATTCACAGCCTAGACTGTCTGACTCCCAAGACCATCCCATATCAAAAGGTCCTTCCATTTCTCATGGTTAGAAAGAAAGAAAATTTGCCAGTGCTTTGTGGGTTCCCATAATTAAAACCATGATAGACTTAACTAAGCCATTGTCTATAGGTCTCCCAGTCATAGGGCTGAGGCTTGAGGCAGCCACTTAGAATGCAAGGAGGGCAGAGAACTGTCCCTTTCTGGTCAATGCACTTTGGTGGAGCAGCTCTCAGCAGCTCTGTGCAGAACAGAAAGGGTTCTGATGAAGTGACCCACAGGGCAAAGAGAGTCCAGGGAATGCGCATCTCTAGTTCTTCCCACACCGAGTCAGAAGGGGAGGAACTTCTGCTCTGATGGGGTAATCACAGATACTGATCTAGCAGCAGGAAGATCCAGTGGCATTTCTCAAGCTCTGGAAGGTACAGAAATGAACAAATAGGAGACAAAATTTTATAAATTGGTGGTTCTATTTGATGTTCATTTAATTAGGACATTCAGCCCTTCTAATGGAAAATGTGAGGAGTGGAAATTACTGGGTTTTGGCCGTCTTGCATAAAATGAAAACCAGATCTCGAAGGCATGAGGCCTTTTCATTGCATCTTCTTCAGGCTCAATTTAATTATGCAGTACAGGCTACCTTCAATAATAATTACAATTGTCTGCTTTGACACAAAGCCTCCTTCTGTCTTGGAGACTAAAACTCTGGGGAGATGCCTGGGGAGATTGTTAAAGTATCATTTAGAGAGCAGTTACTTCCCTACTTGTGCATTCTGTCGATGCTCATCAGGTACCTACTGTGTGTGCGGTTTTGCAAGTCCTGTTGAAGGTAGCATACAAATCAACCGTGATCTCTCCTCTCCTAAGGAGCAGGAAAGAGGCCTTGCATGTTCAATCCTGCATTCATTTAGCAACATTCCTTGCCTGACTTCCTTATGCCAGTTCCACTGGTGCTGAAGCAAGGATGAACTGCGAGCCAGACCCCCTGGTTTGCTCTACTGGCACGAATGGAGCTTGGCATGTTTGGGGAACAGAAACAGATGCAGAGAAATACAGAAGATCAGAGCTCAAGGGAAAGTCATTAAGAGAGGCGGGAAGGAGTCGGGTCATACAGCCAACATCATTCACACTAAGCATCTAGTGTGTGTGTGCCTAGCATTTTAAATTCTGGGGATACAGCAGTAACCAATTCAAGTCCTTTCCTCGGGGAGTTGACATTCCAGGGAGGACAATCTCCGGGGGCCTTGAAGGCCTTAGTAAGAAGCTTGATTCATTTAAACAGGCTGTCTCCTTTGGTCTTCACTATGTCTCTAAGTGGAGGTGGGGTTCCCAGCCTTGTAATCTAACTCCCAGACCTGTCCTGACGTGGAACACTCAGTCTCAATACAGGGGAAACTTTCTAGAATAAAGCAGATGCTCCTTCCAGTAATTCTGGGTCTTGTGCAGGGCTGGAGTATCCTTCCTGCTTTGTGGATTAGAAAAGAAATTTACAGAGGCAAATCATTTTCCAGCCCTCAGATATCAGTAGGTGGCATCAGATCCTGAGAACTATGTGCCCTGAGCAAGGAAATGTGGGTGGTAGGGGGATGTATCTGACTAGAAAGAAAAGCAGAACATGCAAAACCATGGCAAAAGGTAGATATACCAAGTTCCAGCCACAGCACTATCATATTTCTGTTAATTGGCTCTGCCTTTTGATTTCCAGGTACGATAGTTTTGGTCGCCTGACAAATGTGACCTTCCCTACTGGCCAAGTGAGCAGCTTCCGAAGTGATACAGACAGCTCCGTGCATGTCCAGGTAGAGACCTCCAGCAAAGATGATGTCACCATAACCACCAACCTGTCTGCCTCGGGTGCCTTCTACACTCTACTGCAAGGTAAGCCAGGCACAGCCTGGGGACTGAGATGTGAGAGTGGGAAGACACTTTGAAATAGGGTGACACTCAAAACAAACTGCTACAGGAGCTGCCCATGAACAGTAAAGAGTTATGACTAATTTCTCTCTGTATTGCCAGCTAATTTGCAATCACATGAGCCAGTTTCCTATAAATTTTCTCCCAGAAGCTTTGAAGCAATATTTCATTGTCCCATCCCATTATCATCAGAATAAAGAGGAAAGAATCCATTAGCTGCTAATCCAGGTGACCTCGTTATTCTGCCATTGTAATGGCTCCCAGATTAAAAGACTTACACTCACACTGGTGCAGGCAAGAACAAAGGACAAGAATAATTACACCAAATTATGAAAGGGATTTGGTCATGGAAAAGTCCTTCCTGAACCCCAGACAAGGTTTAAACCCTGCTAAGATTTCATAGAAAAAAGATTCTTCTCCAGATCCATCAGCTCTTCCCTGATATGCACTGATCTTTTAGCTTAAGTGAATCACAGTAGTAGAATCTGGCTGCGAGCTGTCTGCCTCAACTGTTCTCCTGAAATATGCTGACCCAGGGGTTTGTTGGATTTAGTAAGCATGAGAAGAAGAAGAAGAAGCAGCCACCACTAAGGAAAGCCCTGCCTAACTTTTTCCCAAAAGCTTTGACACAAAAGAATAAAAAGGAACTCAGGGCTGGGAGCTCAGTTTTGGGGGCTGGCAAATGAGGCTGCATTGTAATACCTGCCTCGGAGAATTGCTCAGATGATCTCTGCATACAGCATTAGAAAGTGGTCAGCATGGGCCAGGCAAAGAAACTGCGCAGGAAATACCTGTTGGATTAATTAACTCAGTAATTGATTCATTAGAAAGCAGTTTGATTTGCCATAAAAAATAAATGTTTGTATACATTTGCACATGTGCTTTTTTTTTCCCCAAAAGTGGTCCTTTGCCTTTCAGAGATCTCAAAGTTTCAGTGTTCCTCAAAGAAAGAGGGACCAAACTCTAGAATTTCTTTCCTCATCAAGCATCTTTAATGGTGGATTGGAACGTTCTTTCCCCTAGGAATCTATCCCCCAACAGTATTATTGCCAAAAGAAGGTACCAGGTCCCAGCCAGCCCAGATTCTGACCAACAACAGCAGATCGGGTGATTGCTTAGACACATGTCCTGTCCTTCAGGCCTGTTTTCATCTCTGTGGTTAAGAATTGTTCCATCTGTCCACTCCAAGATACTAATTCAGGGTTATTTTTCTCAAAGGTCTTTTCTACATTTGGGCAACTCTTTAAAATTCAAAAATGCCACACTTCCTAATTTCAAAATATATTGTCGATTTAATAACTTTTCAGATGGAAGAAATAACTAGGTACTGCTCAAAATGCATCCCTGAATTATAAGCACATTCCTATTTTAGAAACATTGATATATGAAAAGAAAAGTGCACCCTGGAATCCAGGAAGCACAGTACCCGTTTTCCCCTTTGGCACCACTGCCACATCCCTTTGCTCCTTGGCACCTACCAGACTCCGATGCTTGGCTTCACAGTCACCTCAGTAGAGTCTTTGTGAAAAGCTCTTTCAGTTTCATCTTATATCTGAACTACAGGAAGTAATAGGAAGTAGCTACTAATGAGTAAAAGCCTTGGAGAGTCACAGCTGTATCGAATGGGGATCATGTGAGGTGGACCTCTGCAGATGTTGGTCCGTCCAAACTCCTCAGTAATAGACATATGTGGATTCAGCAAGGAGTGGTGTCAAAGATAAATTGACACAGGCATTTTCATCCTTCAAAACAAGTAAAATACAGATTGTCAGTGAATAATGCAAAGAAACTTTGAGACAGAGTTTAGAATTCATGTATGTGAGGGAGATACGGAGGCAGGTTAGGGAGCAATTTGATGCCATTCTAGCAGGGAAGATTGGGAGAAGGGTTTCCTTGAAAACTACATCCTTATGGCTTCACACAGTTTGGCACATATCTAATTTAATCCAGCAAATATTTATTGAGCTAAATATTTAAATAGGACAATAGTGATAGTCAACATTTTTGGAGCACTTGCTAACCTCAAACTGTATTTTTAGCATTTTACATTTTGGTCCTATTTAATCTTTACAACAGGCCTAGGAGGTGAGTATTACTAATGTCTCCATTTTCCAAATGAAGGCAAAGAGTAGCTAAGTAGCTTGCCCCAAGTCGCACACCAGAAAGGCCTTTTGCACCTAAGTAAACCGGCTCCAGAACTCATTCTCTGGACCACACATGAGACATTGAAGGTAATGAGGAGCTACTGAAGGTCTGTAAGCAGTACTAGAAAAATTCTCTCTGGCAGGTGTGTGAAGTGGGGTAGTAGAAGAGATAAGGAGAACACACATGACAGAGCCTAACACAGTGTCACACACATCATAATGACCAACATTTACAGGATATCCCTGGACCAGGGCTGTTCTCAGCAACTCCTCATGCCATCCTCACAGCATCAGGCAAAGGGCGTTGTTATTATCCCCAATGTATAGCAAAGCAACAGAGGCATTCCAGGTCATGAATATGATCAAGGTCACATGGCAGGGCCGTGGTGGAGCTAAAACCCAAGCCCATGCCCTTGATCTCTGTGCAGTGGGGATTAGATCCTGCAGAATGTGTTCATTGACAGAGCAATGAGCTCTGCACCCCTCAGCTGCAAGACCACTGATGAGGCCCACAGAGATCCTGAAATGTGGGGGTTAGGAGAGGTGTACCTCCCACCAGAGGAGTGGAGGGCTTCTGGAGCGAGCCGTGGGGGCAGGACTTGGGCTGGTGTCTAGGAAGACAGAGGAGACAGCCAGGAAGAGGGAACAAGGGGAGGAGAGGCTGGAGATACTGTTTCCATTTTCAGAAGAGAACTGGATATACGTTTTTTCAGCTGAAAATTACTTTTTTTCTTTTAAAGATTCACATTGGAATGTTTTAATCAGATTTAAATTTTCTAATCAGATCTATTTCTTAAACCATGACCATATGTCTATGTATATACTTATCTATCTATATTATATTTGTATATATGTTATTTTTTACCTTCTTGTAAAGAACAGCATTAATATGCCATGAATCTTAAAAATGTCCAAACCTTTGCTCTAGTAATCCTACTTGTTAATAATGTTTTGATGAAACCAAAATGAAGAATGGTTATATTTTCTATAAAGCAAAATTTTATTGAGATTCAAATGTAAGATTTACCCTTTTAAAGTGTACAATTCAGTATCTTTTATTGTGTTTACAAAGTTGGGCAACCACCACTATTATCTCATTCACAACATTTTTATCAAATGGAAAAGAAACCCCATTCTTATTAGCAATCATCCCTCATTATCTCCTGCTCCTCAGCTCCCAACAACGACTAATCAATCTGTTCTCTGTGGATTTACCTATTCTGGACATTTTATATAAATGGATTCATACAGCGTGCTGGGTTTTGTGTCTAACTTCTTACACTTATTAAATGTTTAAAATATATTTCTTTGCAATATTACTTATAATAGTGAAAAACTGGAAACAAATTAATTATCTGTTTGATGCTTCATTATATATAGTGTTTCCATATAATAAAATACTATACAGCCATTAAGAAAATGTTTTTGAAAAATGGTCACTAACATGATGTAATACAGTGATCAGTGAAAACTTCCATAAGCAACTATTCAAAATTACAAGTGCATTAGAAAATATCCTAAAATCTACAAATATACAAAATATTTCTAACAGTTTTCTCTAAGTATTGGGATTATGGGTTGTAGTCTCCCAGTATTTCCACAGTTGTCGTTAGTGATACTGTATGAGGGAGAAACCGTTCAGATCCCCGCTCACTGACTCCATCCTGTGCTTGCCCTGCCCTCAGACCAAGTCCGGAACAGCTACTACATCGGCGCTGACGGCTCCCTGAGGCTGCTGTTGGCCAATGGCATGGAGGTAGCGCTACAGACAGAGCCCCACCTGTTGGCGGGCACAGTCAACCCCACCGTGGGCAAGAGGAATGTTACACTGCCCATTGACAACGGTCTCAATCTGGTGGAGTGGCGGCAGCGCAAGGAGCAGGCTCGCGGCCAGGTCACCGTCTTTGGACGCCGGCTGAGGGTGAGGAAGGATCTAAGGACTACAAGGGTGGCATCCTGCGGGGGGGGGGGGGGGGGGAATCTGGAGCATGGGGTTAAGACTCTCTGGCATCACAGCTTCCTCATCTGCAAAAGGTCAGAACTAAAGCAGGGAACCACACAGAAGGGGAGGCTCTTACATAGCTACCCAGTTTTGACTGGTAGAGAGGTCACAGACATGACCTTTAGGTCTGGGGTGAATTTCTAGCAGACACCATTCCCTGAGTGATTTTGTGTCAGTCATCTTAGGGCCTCAACTTCATTCTCCATAAAAGGAGAAAGATAAAATCAGTTTCACAAGCTGCTACAAAGACTAGAAGTAACATGCAAAAAGTGTCTGATATACCGATTCTGGCATATAACAAGTGGTCAACCATAGCTACTCTTGGTGTCATTGTTATTATGGTTGTTACTATTGCTAATATGCCCCAAAATTCATTTTAGTATTTGGAACCTAAGCCACACTCTCTATGCTTTCCAGATACAGTGACCCCTGCTAACTGACCAAGGTGCGCTCCTCATACCTGCCATTGCCGGGTGCTGGCCTAATGATCTGGCATTCCAGAGCACTTTCTAAGAGGAGGACGCCTTGAGAAAGGCTTTCTCTGCCTGCCTCCCATGTGTCTATGGAGTGTGGCTTCAGATCAGAGCCTGAGTCCCAAGCAGCTTTTCCTTCCAGTTCCAGAAAGTAGGGGACAGGCAGAGTAAACTCGGTCTGGCTTTCTGCCCATCACCTTGTAGTCCATGTAGATATTTGCTGAGCTGAAGTGAACTGCAGAACTGGGCTAGATGCTCCCTGCATTCAAAAAACCACAGAAACAGCCTCATAACACCACCTGGGTGCTCTGTATTCCCTTCCCTTCACTGCAGAAAGTTCTTATAAGCTCCAGTTTTATACCTAGGACAGTGTCCAGAGAAGGTAAGTAATTTTCCAAAGTCATATAATAGATATATCTATTAGACATATATCTAATAGACATATCGTAGATAGCATAAGGGCTAGGAAACAGGTCCACAACTGATACAGAAATTTTGATGACTTATTCAATAACAAAAGCTAAAACCCAGAAAATCGGGCTTCCTTTGTTCCCTCAAGACCTAGGAACTCAGCCAGGAATGCTTTAACTTCCGAATGTGGGAAGCAGCTTCCTGCTAGTTCCTGAGGAAGGCCGCAGTGTCTTTCTTCTCTGTGGCCTGCCACTATTTGTGGCCTCCCTGAGACTTGATCTGAATTCTCAAAGACCCTTTCCTGCACATCTGAAGCAGTGTGCTAAGTGGGAGGTTTGACCTAGGTTGGATTCCTGCTGGCCACATGTGTAGCCTTGAGCAACTGCTCTGGCTCCTCTGTAGAACAGGATAATATATTCAGAGCACCTAGCCCAGTGCTGCAGATCCCAGGTGCTCAATAAAGGGCAGCAATTAGCACTATTAGGATTTCCTCTCTGCTGTGTGAACTGGACCAAAAGTTTCCTGGGCTTTAATTGGTCCCTCTCCCAGTCTGAGATTGATGATGCTGTAGTCGAGTGGCCACATCTCTGCTTCCTCCTAAAATAAATGGCCACCCACAGTGGCAGCATGTGGAATTAGAATGTTAGCCGGGTGTGCCTCCCCATAATGGAGCTCATTTTTTATACAACTGGGAACTTTTTTAATAAAGAAAGATGTAAAATAATCTCATTGCCACCACTGCAGAGCATAGGAAGCATTAGGTGGTTCCCCAGTGAGCTGCTTAATTCAATTTTATTAACTTTGCCATGGAGGTGCAGCTTGACTTCACTAAGGTCCACCAGGGGGTGGGAGGGCCAGCTGTGTGGGTGGCACCTCCTCCAGGGAGTCACAGAATGACCTTCCAAAGGGTACTTGAGAAAGACCCCTGCCATTGCTGATAGTACAGCGCATCTCTTCCTTTACCTCCTCTGTAAAGAACAGAGCTTCAGTCTCCGACACCTCTGATTTTTCACACCGCCACATTGTGTTTGCATCTGCAGTTGCATTTGATTACCCCAGGGAAAGCAACCTTATTATAACCAAGCCATTCACAGCTAAAGTCGTCTCAGTGTTGTCACTATAAATCCTTATTTTCAAGTCCTTAAGAGTTTGTGTGGGGAGAGGGAGGACACACAAGTTTGCCCTTCAAGTCTAACCAAGTCCACGTGCTATCATTCATTTAATAGAGATAATTGTAACCACTTATCCAGGACCTTCTGTGTGCCTAGCACTCTTATTTAAGTTTTCCAATCTCCACAACTCTATGGTTATACAGAGGGAGAAACTAAGATGCAGAGAAGACAAAACCCGTGCTCCAGGTCACACAGAAAAGCTGTACACAAACCTAAGGATGTATTCTGGCCTTAATTCCTAGACCTACTTCCTCTGCCTTTTTATTTTTTTAACTACATAGAGCCCCAGAGAGCCTTTATTACCTCAGGACACACATGCCATTTCACATCATGTGACCTAATTACCTGCTTTTCTCCTGGCTCTTCCTACTTGTCAAACTTAACCAGTGACTAGTGAAAAAGACAGAAAACGTATCCAAGCGCCCCAGAAGGCCAGAGAACTAATAGAGGGAGCCAGCATTTTAGCATCAGAGAACCTGGAAGTGTTTGGGAGCATCCAGTGCCTAAGGGTCAGATGCAAACACAGAAACAGGTCCACAAAGTATATTTCTTTATTTAAATATGAAATCTCTGACTTACTGCTACCTTCTGTGGGAGCCTGTGTTTCAGTCTCTAAATGGAAACTGAATTGTGTGATGTGCCAGCTGTCCAAGTGGAGACTTTGTTAGCGGCTTCTGATCCTGGAGGCAGGAACCAAGTGTTCCAGAGCTAGGACTATTCCTAGCTGGCCCACAGCCACAGAAGCCACCCAGGCTCAAATACCCACTGCCTCCCAGGGCCTCCAGGAAGAAGGAGGTAGAAGAGCTATCCTGGGGGCTGGCTGAGGTGATGGAGAAGCGAGGGCAAGAGGGACCCCAAGAGGGCTGTGACTTGCTCAGAGAACCAGTGAGTATCTGCTGGCAAGTCTCAAGGGTCAAAGCCAAGTCCAGGCTCAGTTTTTCACCAGTCATAAGACCAGCAGCAAATGCCGTCACGTCCCTGAGCTTTGGTCTCCTCAGAGTTAAACAGCACCACATCTGGCACTGAATGTATGGCTCAGGGATTTGTTTACTGGCTCCACTTGATGGCTATATTTTTATAAAACAGCAGGAGGGATGTGCCTTTTGTCATATTCCTCCCTGAAAAATTGCATTAGAAAATCACGTAGCTCCTCTTCGGTCACAGCTACTATCTGCAGTGCCTTCATCTCACAAGCCCCATGCAACTGGCCTTATTATTTCACTTTACAGATAGGGGCGTATCACCGAGCTGAGAAGTGACAGAGCCAGGAGTCAAACCCATATGTGTTGACCCCCACGACTTGTGCTGGCTTCCTCTACTCAGGAGCATCTCAACCCAGCTGATAGTCACAATGGTCATCAAAGCAAAGCTCTCATTATCCAGCTTAATT